AATCTTCCTACAACTCTGTTTTCCCAAGACTTCTCTCATCTCCTAAGGAACCGGGCCTAGAAGATCGCAGTCATTAGGGTTAAACCTTAGAAGCCTTAACACCTTTGCAATAAGTGTTTCTATGGAATGCCCAACTAGGAAACTAAGAGTCAGGCTGCAGTAGATCCTTTTTCAATGGGCTGTGGTGGCGGCTTGATGTCGGGCAAAACAGATTATAAATGTGCAGTTAACTCAAGTTGAACAAAGATTCGCGTAACAAAACTTGATATTCCCAGTTACATTGAGAAAAGGTGTACCACACGGCATATCAAGTAAACATTCGATGTTTTTCAAACGAAGAGGATGAACAATATGCAAGCATGCTTACCTCACGCATTATCTTTATGGCTTCTTTTAGTTTCCCCAGCTTCCGAGCGCACATGGCTAATCGGCGGCGGATGTAAATAAAAGCGTGGATATCCCGAAGGTACACCGCTTCCTGGGCTGGGCAGTGTGTGTGCGCCTGTTGTGACTTCCTCAAAGATGCTTCAGATATTTTGTACGCCTGTTTAAACATCTTCTCTGTCTAAAAATTGGAAGTGGAAATACAGTGTTTAGACATTAAGAAGTTACTATGATGGCGTATGCCATCAGCAAACTGGCCTAGTAATACGAGGTCATTAAATTCTGCAAACATCGTTGCGTTTGCGTTGTTCAAATTCCTTCAGGGAAAACAAAGCTTTAAAGATCAAATGTGCTTGACTCGAGAATGAAGTATAAAAATAAAAACGTGTGCGACAAAGATACCGGTGATCTGCTACTAACTTGTGCTTGAACTTCTGTGCTGGTGTCAGGGGAAACTCATTGCTAACAGAAGCGTCCGATTAAAATTCAGTCAGATGTCAGATGCGTGTTTCAGGGTGTGCCACCGCGACAAAGTTTTGGCAGCGTAAAAAACATGTTAGTTGCATTCAGATTGCTGTCATTGGCAGTCTTGTAAAGACTATTCTAATACTCCATATACGCAAATGTTCAATATGCAAACGTTAAAACTACTACTACTACTTTTCCAGACACGACGGCATCCGATCTAGATGGAAACCTGTTGCTATATGCGAGGGTAAAACTGGTACCGCAGATTAGTTCAAGGGAATAAAATAAAAGTTAACGGTTTTTGATAGAACAGCAAAGGCACCTCCAAACATATTACTTGTGTAAGCGATATATTAACACGAACGAAGGCATTGTGATAGTACGAACATACCTCAACGATTGTGCTGCAATCCTCCTCTGCTAAAAGAATCATGGCAGTTGAACATTCTGGATTTTTGGCAAGTGCTTCCTTAGCCTTTCTGATGCGTTCTTCCGAATTTCTTTCCCTCCATGCTGTTTGCATAACTGAGAAATAATATAATCTCAAATAATCGATGTACGTTCGTATTCGGGCTTCCCAGCATCTGCTTCACAGGTAAAGAACGTCTGATGGTCTTGGGCAGATAAATTCATATCATAGTAGGTTAAAGGATCCTTCCCAAATTCCTTCATAACTTTTTGGTATTCGGCACTCCGAAAAAGGCTGTAGGGGTTACGTGAAACTTTGCAGTCTAGAAGGGAACCATGAATCGTGAAAAAGGGGGACAAACCTTGAGGGTTCGAATACGGAGCTGCTGAATCAACACTTTCGCAATCATTTTCTTCATCAGCACCCCCAAGCAACGGGTATATATGCGTAAGGGAAATTTGTTCAATAAATGATGTGCCATATTTTTTGAAATACCACCATTCAAAGATCTACATATATAGATTTTGAACAGAAACAACGAACCAAGATCAACCCTGATAGAAAAGAGCTTGTTCCGGTAAGTGCCACATAGAATTTCGGCGTCAGTGCATTTAGAAACATTGTGCCTAAAATAGTATATAACGGATGACGACAGGG